GTGCAGTAGAGATCTTTGGCTGGGAGAAGAGGAGAGACACTGTGTAAGTCAATGCAGGCAGCCTGGCAGCGTGCACCCGGACAGATACCGTGGGACAGGGAGACACAGCAGTCAGCGTTGGATCAGAAACCGGCACCAGCGCTGGAGGGACTTCTGAAAACTACTGGAAAAAAGATGATCGGATCAAGAAGCATCATTTAAAGGAGAACTATGGGGTCAGTGTTTTTCCCCATAGTTCTCCTTAGGGTAACGGGAGGACACAAACTAGTGTCCTCCCGTTACCCTAAGCTCAGTATACCGCGAGCTACAGCTCGCGGTATACTGAGACGCCATAGCCGGAGCGGATCCGCCCCGCTGCGTGAGTGACAGCTGGCTCTGCCTATCTAGAGGCAGAGCCAGCTGTACCCGCCCCCTCCCCCGTCTGTTCCGCCAGTCAGCGCTGGCAGATCGGAGCGGGGAGAGGGGAATCCAGCCCCTCCCCCTGTCACGGCAGAGAGCCGTGACAGGATCGGAAGGTGAGCGAACCTGGTATGTGTTCGCTCACCTCCCGATCTACTGAGCCGACCTGTGACAGTCTCATTGTCACAGGTCGGCTAGAACTATGAGGTGAGTGGAAATCACTCATCTCATAGTTCTCCTTTAAAGTAAGTCCTTAAAGCAGATTGGGGGGGGGAGGAGAAAAAAAAATTACTTTAATGTCACTTTGAAGGTGTCATTCTCTTTTCTAGGAAGTGAGGAAGTGGGGAGTAAGCTCATAGTAAGCTCAAACAATTCATCCCCACACAGCTACCTCCTCATGTATCACTTCTCCCTCCCTTTTATATTGTGAGCCCTCAGGGGCAGGGCCCTCCTTACCATCTTGTCTTGAATTTGTATTATGATTGTAATGTCTTCCTTATATTGTAAAGCGCTGCGCAAACTGTTGACGCTATATACATCCTGTATAATGATAATGATAATAGTGATTTTTTTTAATCAAGCCTTGTTAGCCCCTACACAGCCTTGCATTCTCCTAGTCATCCTCAGTATGCTTGTATAGTTTACATTGCTTGCTTTTATTAAGTTATGTATAGGAGAATTTTTTTTAGTTTGTCTTGGTGTGAGGTCATGGTCTAGTGTGAAAAGGTTATGACTGAATGTGAGAGCAAAGCAAGCACTGGGGTAGATTTACTAAAGAGGTAAAGGCTCTTTACTTAAAAAAGCAAATTCTAACTATGCAAGGTCCTTTTGTAAATCATTCCCATTGTGTTCTATCACGTGTATGGTAATTATGCCATATGCCAGAAAATACATTATTTCAATTAAAATAGGTGTCATTTTATGTTTCATCACCTTCTTCTCTGTTTCCATGCAGTTGTTGCGATGACGTCTGGAGTCCTGATTCAGAATGATTTGTTGTGTTGTACATCTGCAAACAATACTCACCAAGCAGCTATGAGCTCAGGTACTAATCTTCTTTGATTTATATTCTACAATCCATATACAGTATAGTGCTAATGTTAATGTATTGCAGATACTGCATTCCATCTGAGCTAAATGGTGCAGGGTATTTATTAAAGATTACTAAGGTGGCCAGCTGGAAACAGTTGTGTTCTGCCATAAGCCTTACATCGGTGGCAGCGATTTATCTATGGTCAAAAACTAAAAATGTCCCCCCACCCTATCTGCCCTTCCCAACCTTTAATTTCCCCTCTGCCCTTCCCCCCTTTTTTGTCTTCCCTCTTTCTCTATTGCTTTTCTCTCGTTCCCCCCCCCCCCCCCCCACCCCCCCACC